CCATGAGCCACGGATTTCCTGACAGAGCAGACAAGCCTCGGCCAGGTTTTGAACAGAACATGAGCTGCCCTCATTAGAGCAGCTCCACTCCTGCAAAATTCAGAGGCTTTCATCGCCTTAAACCCTTAGAGAAAGGACTCAATGTTTACAAGACAGATTCTGAGCTTAGGTCATGATTACCAGGGTTTTCACCTTCCAGGGAGGCTGAGATGCGGTTGGACTGCTCAAGGACAGACGTACTGGTTAAAATATTGAAATACTTTGGTGCCATCAGGTGGCGCGGTGGTTAAGGTGCTAGATCCCACATGGCCTTCTCTGCAGTTGGAGTCTGTCCCGACCTGGGGGGACAGCCAAACGGGTTTCCTGAGTGAAGGAGTGAGAGCCGGGGCAAGCAGCGTAGTGTTACAACACGGAGACAACAGTGTCGTCTGTTTATTGTGGGCAGCACGGTACAGCACAGAGACAACGCAGTGTCACAGCTCTTAAGGGTCGCGTCGTCTACTGTGAGCAGCACGGAGACGACGTGGTATCACAGCTCTTCAGGGTCGTCCGGAGACGATGTAGTGTTACAGCTCTTCAGGGTCTCCCAAGTCGTCTGGAGACGATGCAGTGTCAGCTCTTCAGGATCTTCAGGGTCGTCTGGAGACTGCGCGGTGTTTCAGCTCTTCAGGCTCTTCAGTTGTCTTCCTGGTCGTTCATCATCCTCTCGGTCGTCTGTGTCGTCTTCTCGGTCGTCTGTATCGTCTGGCTACTGTGGGCCAGGCATCGTGGTTATATACACTCTGGTGGGTTGTAAACGGTGGGTCGTGATTGGTTGTAAACAGTGGACTGTGATTGGTTGTAAACGGTGGGCCCTGATTGGTTGTTAACGGTGGGTTATGATTGGTTGCTTTTGGACCAATCATGAGGTGCCGGATATGCAAATTTGAGGGATTCTAGTGGCCAATCAGAGCAAGGTTTCGAAGGTCAGGTTTTTGGAAGGAAACCAATCATGGTAATTGTTTGCCCTCTGAGAAACCTCGGCAGACACGCTGGTGCGCAGCTTCCCACAGGAGTCCCAGACCCAGCAGCTTGAAAAACACCCCAGGTATGAGTGCACGCACACCTGTCTAAAACCCTGAGAAGAGAATGGAGGAGAAGGGATTGTGGTGTAGCTATTCTCCAGGGTGTGTGTGGTAGGGCCGGACGGAACGTGATTTCTCACTTTCCCTCTCACCGTCTCTCTCTGTTGAGTACACATGCCCTATGGCAAAAATCTTAAACAAAAACAAAAACATTGAGGACAGCAAATGGCATAACAGTTACATCACTGGACTCTCATATGGTCGACCATAGTTCGAGTCCCAGACCCAGGAGCTTGAAATTCATGCTGGGTGTGTGTGCATGCCCACGATCCCGGGAGGAGAGTGGAGAAGGGATTGAGACATGGCCATCCCCCCAGGGAAGGGGTGATTTCTCACTTTCCTTCTCACTGTCTCTGTCTCTCTCTGGTGAGAGTATGCATTCTAGGGCAAAAACCTCTTTTTTTTTAAAAATGAAATACGTTGAAACCCAGAAGTATGTATTCTTCAAAAAGTTCACGGAAAATTTCTATTATTGGGGCTGGCAAGTGGAGTGGTGGGTAAGGGTGCCAGACTCCCACATGCCCAACCATGGTTCAAGTCCCAGACCTGGTGGCTTGCTTTCTCATTTTTCTCCCTCTCTGTTCCTCTCTGGTTAAATTAAAATAAATAAATAAATAATTAAATAAAGTTAAATAAAATAATTCTTTATAAAACATTTCTATTATGAAAACTATGCATGAATTTCAAAATTCTTTTTGCTATATAGCATGTATGCTCACTGAAGAGACAGAGAGACATAGAATGCAAGAAATCATCCCCCTCCAGGGGGATGGCCACGCCACAACCCCTCTTCCTCCATTCCCCTGTCAGGATTTTGGGCACACACACATGCTCACCTGGCGTGAGTTTAAGTTGCTGAGTCCAGGACTTAAACCATGGTCAACTACGTGAGAGCCCAGTGACGTAACCATTTCGCCATCTGCTGGTCCCTTCATATTTTTTTTTTAAGAGAGGGTTTTTTTTTTTTTCTGCTAAAGGATGTATGCGCTCACCAGAGACAGAGAGAAAGAGAGAAACCACCCCCATGGAGGATGGCCATTGTGCAATCCCTTCTCTTCCATTCTCTTAGGATTTGGGGCACGCACACATACACACACACGCACACACAGGGTGAGTTTCAAGCCACCAAGTCCAGGAATCAAACCACAGTCAGCCATGTGGTCACGGGAGTCCAGTGATATAACCATTACACTACTTACTGGTCCTGAATTTGAAATTTGTTTTTTTCGAGAGGTTTTTGCTATAGGGGGCATGCCCTTGCCGGAAAGACAGAGAGAGACAGAAAGCGAGAAATCACCCCTGGGGGGATGGCCACGCCGCAATCGCTTCTCCTCCATTCTCCTCTCGGGATCTTGGGCACGCACGCACACACACCCAGCGTGAGCTTAAGCCACCAGGTCTGGGACTCGAACCACAATCGGCTACATGGGAGTCCAGTGACATAGTCACTACACCAACTGCTGTTCCTGCTCAATTTGAAATATTTAAAGAAGAATTATTCATTTAATTTTATTATTATTATGATAATGATGATGATTTTAAATTTTGCTATAGGGCACATGAGCTCATGAGAGACAAAGAAAGTAAGCTGTCAGGTCCAGGACTTGAACTGCAGTTGGCCATGTGCGAGTCTAGCACCTTAGCTACACCACCACCTGCTGGCCCCATGTATTTCAAATTCTTTGCACCAAAATAAGCAAGACTTGGAACCAGCAGTTAGCATAATGGCTGTGTCGCTGAACTCCCATGTAGTCGACCGCAGTTTGCGTCCCGGACCCTGTGGCTTAAACTCATGCTGGGCGCGTGTGCGTGCGTGCCCAAGATCCCGAGAGGAGGATGGAGGAGAAGGGATTGCAGCGTGACCATCCCCCCTGGGGGCTGATTTCTTGCTTTCTGTCTTTCTGTCTCTCTGTGTCTTTCTGGCGAGTGCACGTGCTCTATAGCAAAAACTTCTCCAAAAAAAAAAAAAAAGCTTTTTTTTTTCCCTTTTTTTTTTTTTTTTCCCTTTTTTTTTTTTTTTTTCAGGTTTTTGCCATAGGGCATGTATGTTCACTAAAGAGTGACTGAGAGAGAGAAAGTGAGAAATGTCACCCCAGGAGGAACAGCCATATCACAATCCCTACTCCTCCACTCTCCCCTCAGAGTTTTGGGCACACATAGACATACATCTGGTGTGACTTTCAACTACCAGGTCTGGGACTCGAACCACAGTTGGCTATGTAGGAATCCAGAGCCTTAACCACCATGCTATCTGTTGGCATTGGCCCCCACCTTTTTTTTTAAAGTGTTTCAACCATTCTCATTACCTTTCTCCTTTTCTTTTCTTTCTTTTTTTTTGTTTTGTTTTTGTTTTTGATTTTGGTTTTACCATTGGGTACATGTAATCATGGGAGACGGAAAAAGAGAAATTACCCCCTGGGGAATGACTGCCACAATCCCTCCTCCTCTTCTTGGTATTTGGGGCATACACACACAGGCACCCAGAGTAATTTTTTGTTAAAAATGTATTTAACTTTAATTATTTCTTTTAATTTGCCTAGAGGGGTACAGAGTGAGAGAGGAAAGTAAGCCACTAGGTCTGGGACTTGAACCATGGTTGGCCACGTGGGAGTCCAGCGCCTTAACCAGCATGCCGCCTGCTACCCCCTCCCCTCCACACGTAAGTCTTTTTCTTTAAAGAATTATTTTATTTAAATTTATTTATTTTATTTGCTTATTTACTTTAATTTGACCAGAGAGAGACAGAGAGAGAGAAAAAAAAGAAAGGTAGAAAGCAAGCCACCAGGTCTGGCCCTCGAACTGCGGTCGCCCATGTGGGAGCCCGGCGCCCTTACCCACCCCGCCACCTGCCAGCCCCCCACACATAAGTTTTTAAGTCACCAGGTCCAGGACTCGAACTGCAGTGTTTACATGAGAGTCCCGCGTAACCGTTACACCATCTGCTGATCCCAGCACCCAGCGTGATTTCCAAGCGATCAGGTCCAGGACTTTGCAGTCAGCAATGTGGGAATTTAGTGCCTTAACCACCTCACCACCTGCTGGCCCTGATAAACATGTACTATAATTCCATTTCCCCATAATTTTTTTTAAAGAGATTTTTTTTTCCTATAGGGCGTGTGCACTCACAGGTGGGACAGACAGAAAGCAAGAAATCACCCCCCGGAGGGATGGCCACACTGCAATCCCTTCTCCTCCCTTCTCCTCTCAGGATCTTGGGCACGCATGCACACGCGCCCAGCATGAGGTTTAAGCCACCGGGTCCGGGACTTGAATGGCGGTCGACTACATGGGACTCCGGCGACATAGCCATTATGCTACCTACTGGTCCCACCTCATGATTTTTTTTTTATTTCCTTATTTGCTAGAGGGTCCATGTGCTCACTAGAGAGAAACAGAAAGGGAGAGAAGGAAGCACACCACAGGGGATGGTCATACCACAAGCCCTTCTCCATCTCTGTGATTTGGGGTTCACACACACACTCAAGCCGCAGGTCCAGGACTTGAACTGCAGACTTGGCTATGTGGGATGCAGCTGCCTTGGAACTGGCTTCCACAAACTATGCATTTTAAATTAATTAATTAATTCAGCCATAGGGTGTGTATGCGCTTGAGAGACAGAGAGAGGGAAAGTGAGAAGTCACTCTCTTCCATTCTCCTCTTGTGATTTTCGGCGTGCATGTACATGCTCACGGAGTGATTTTCAAGCTGCTGGGTCTGGGACCTGAACTGTGGCTGGCTGCGTGGAATCCAGGGCCTTAACCCCCATGCCACCTGCTGGCCCGCTGCCCTTTTGAACCCGTGGTCCTGAAAGCCAGATACGTGCACTCAGGCGGTGTGCAGGGCAGTCCCTGGGACGAGGCAAGAAAACACAAAAACTCTATTCATATTCATTTTTAATTTAAAGTGGAATAATTTAAGCTCATTACTAATACACAAACTGACCGTAGGACACGTGCATAATTTATAGATAAGTGTACGCATGGCAGGAGGACGCGTCCAGACAGTGGCCTCTTAGGTGCAGGGGCTAGAGGAAGGCGGCCATTGGTTTTCCCTGCTAAGTGGCATGGCCTCTCCAAAAGGCCCCCTTGGGTACCGTGACTAGAGAGGGGCGTAGTGAGTGAGTCAGAGTGTGTGCATTCTGGAGCCTGACAGCCTGGGTTCAAGTCCCTGACCTGCCACTTCCTAAGCTGTCCGACCTTGGGCAGGTAACTGCACCACTCTGACCTGGTGGCTTTCTCTGTAAACTGAAAACAGCAGGTGTCACTTGAGGGTTGAGGAGGGATAAATCAGCTCACCCAGGTGAAACATGACGAGTCATGCTGGGCCGGAGAAGTGCTCAGAGGATGTGAGCTGTGACTATTTATCCCTCCGGTTTAACAGGTGTAGAGCGCTCCCAGAACCAGTAATAGTTACCATCAGGCACCAGATCCCCAGCCTGCAACTTGGGGCACTGAGCCTGTTTCCTCTTCTGCCATTTGGGGTCAAGAGCAGCATGGGCTTCATGCAGTTCTTCCAGAAGGGAGGGAGATCCCACTTCTGGAGAAGGGGAGGTAACTGTCGCCGTCTGGCTTCCCCCAGGAGCTTACAGAGAAGACCCAAGGCTCCAGAGACGGGATAGCTGAGGCAGAGAAACCCTGTCGGCCACAGGAGGCCACTGGAAGCAGGTCAGACTCGCCCCCTAGTGGCGAAAGCACCTCCAGCGCAGCCAAGACTCGGATCCCGAGCTATTGTCACTAGGGCACTCACAAAATCCTGGAGGAAACCGAGGCACGCAGAAACTGTGACAGTCACCAGGTCACTTGACTAGTAAGTAGTGGAGCCTGGATTCGAACTTCCCCAGAACCCACACACTACCCCACTCTTTACAAAACTGTCCGGACCGCAGGGCTCTTACAATCTTGAGGCAGGTTATTTCTCTAAAGTCCAAGACTGTGCTGGGTTTTGCAGGGCGACTCGGTATCCCTGGCCCCGGCCACCAAACGCCAGAGGCTCTCTTAGTTATGAGGACTACACAGGGCGTTCCCACACAGATCGGAAATCTCGGGTTGCTGCCTCCGACTCTCAGCCTGGTGCTCTCCCGCAAAAGCCAGGCTTCTCTGTGCTCCCCCTCTGTCAGTTCCCCCCCACTTCTCTCTCCACTGCCTACCCCCCAACTCCACACCAATCAAACTAAGCTTCTCCACATCCAGACAGGCCCCAGAAGGCGAAAGACGGCTCCCTGTGCCTGAACGTTCCCCTGATGCCAGACGTGGGTGCCAGGGCTTCAGCCGCCTCCAGTTAAACTCAGGAGAGCGGGGTTGGGATACTCCGGGTTCTCGATCACCCCGGGGCCGAACTTGAGCTCCAGGAAACGCCGGTAGTTGTTAGGCGCCTGCGCCACAAAGCCGGCAAATGGCAGGGGCACCAGAGGCTGCAGGAAGTGTTCGGGGAACTCGACATCCTGCCGGTGGTCCAGCCACGTGTCCTTGGTCATGACCCCGTTGCGGGGGTAGAAGGGCCACAGGTCCACGTGCAGGTGGTTGCTCTCGCTGTACTGCACGCGGAAGAAGTCGCCCTCCACCGCCTTCTCCCACACGAAGCCGCGCTCGTCCACCACCGAGCCGGCCTCGGCCCCCCGCAGCTGCTCGCAGTTGCCCACATCCTCCAGGTAGATGCCCAGGTCCACGTCGTAGTCCCACGGGATGATGTCCCCATGGCGGGCAGCCCCCAGCAGCGAGCCGCCCTCCAGCCAGTAGCGCACGCCAGCGGCCTCCAGCACGCCCACCACGTAGCGGGCGGTCTCCCGCAGCGCGCGCAGGCAGCATGGGGGCGTCCAGCGCCCCTCGTACAGGTAGGATGGCGTGTCGCCCACCACAGTCCCGAAGCAGCGCGAGCTCTCTTTGTTGCAGCCGAACCACTCGACTCTTTATCCATGTAGTGGCGCTCCGCCTTCCAGCGCGCGTGCGCCGTGGCCAGCGGGGGCTGGCGTGCCACGGCGAAGGGGGTGTCCATCAGCTGCACTGCCCAGCCGCGGAGGGCAGTCTGCAGGAAGAGGCTGGTGCTCACTGGCCGGGCCAGGGGTGCTGAGAGGTTGAAGAGGTCACGGGCTCGCAAGAGTACTACAGCGTCCCCTTCCAGGGCATCGCAGCGGGGGGCAGCAGGTGCCGGGTGATAGCGGGCAGTCCACTCGCGCAGGCTGACGTTCAGGGCCAGGCACCGAGCAGGGTTGGCTGTGGCCACCGGGGCGGCCACCAGGCGTGTGCTTCCCGCCCGGAGCGCCTCGGCCATGCGTTCCAGCTGGCCTGGTACCTTGGCCCGTGTCCCATCAGGCACCAGGGCCACGAACTCTGTGGTCACGTAGGTCTCGGGGCGTGAGGCTGTGGCCGGCCGGTCCAGCGCAGGCTGGAGCAGCGCCAGGCGAACGTTGGGGACGTGGGGCAGGGCCAGGGGCGGGTAGGGAAGTGTGTCGGCCGCCACCACCACCAGCTGGGCGGGGTCCTGCTGCAGGAAGGAGTCCACCAGCTCGGGCACCGCGTTGTCAAAGGCCTCGAACTCCCGCACCAGGATGGTGACACGGGGGCCAACGGCAGACGCATGGCGGGGGGCCCCGGGCCGGAAGTTCCTGGGCTGGTGCTGGAGCCAGGAGACATAGAAGAGGACCAGGAGGTTGAGGGTGATGGCGGCTGCCAGGGCAGCCTGGCAGCGGGTGAGCCGCATGAGGTGAAGTCAGGCCCTAGCTGGGCTTCCGGGGCATCCTGGGGAGGGAGGATGGAAGGAGAGAATGGAGCAGGTCATCAGATTCTCCCCTCCCTCAACCCTTAGCTCTGCCCCTCTCCCCCAGCTTGCTTGCAATTCTCTACTTAGTTTGAGCTCTGACTTTCCCTCCTCCAGGAAGCCCCCCCTGCCATCACCAACTCTGGGCTCCTTTAGCTCCCTCGGTTCCCCCACCCCAAACTCTTAACATCACTGCAAGAGCAAGGGTCTGCACCCTCCTCTGCCAAATGGGTTGTGAGACCCACGGGGGGCAGGACCTGAGCCAGTGCCACCCAAGTACAAAGCCTGGCATACATTCTGGGCTCAGTAAGTTTTTGTCAAATCTGTCCCCTTTATGGGACCAGCAGTTGGCATAATGGCTGTCGCTGGACTCCCATGTAGTTGACCACGGTTTGAGTCCCGGACCCGGTGGCTTAAACTCAGTCGGCGCGTGTGCGTGTGTACCCAAGATCCTGAGAGGAGAATGGAGGAGAAGGGATTGTGGCATGGCCATCCCTCCTGGGGGGGGATTTCTCGCTTTCTGTCTCTGTCTCTGTCTCTCTCTGTGTCTTTCTGGCGAGCGCATGTGCCCTATAGCAAAAAACAAACAAACAAACAAAAAAAACCTCTCAAAAAACAACCAACCAACCAATCCCCGTTCCTTCTTCCTTGTTCCATCTTACCTTTTGCCTATTCTCTATAGACTTCTCATTAAGATTCAAGTTCTGTTATAGACACTCCAACCCCAACCTCCAGCACAACGTGCACTGCCTCCTCCTCCAGGAAGCCACCCTTGATGTCTCCCTCCCTTCCCACACCTGGTCACAACCAGCTCCAGGGTGAGGTTGATGCCACAGCCCATGAGCATCACCCTGGAGCTGCTCCCCTGCTGCCTTTCCCTTGCCTCACTTCCTCTGCTTCCGTGCTGTCCAGTCATCTCTTCCCCAAAGCTCAATCAGATGGCTTTGCAGGGAAAGCCAAGAATGCTGCTCTTTTTCTTAAAAAAAATATTTATTCACTTATTTATTATTTTACCGAGAGATAGAGTCCCGGGCCCAGGACTCAAACTGTGGGAGTGTCCAGCGCCTTAACCACCATGCCACCTGCTGGTCCCAAATGCTGCTCTTTTTTAAAACCAGAATCTTGGGACCAGTGGTTGGAGTAATGGTTACGTCCCTGGACTCCCATGTAGTTGACTGCAGTTCGAGTCTTGGACCCAGCGGCTTAAACACACCAGGTGCATGTGTGTGCGTGCCCAAAATCCCGAGAGGAGAATGAAGGAGGGATTGAGGGATGGCCATCCCCATTGGGGGAGTTATTTCTTGCTTCTGTCTCTGTCTCTCTGGCCCCAGAAATATCTCAAATTTTTAAAAGAATTATTTTTATTTAATTTTAATAATTATTATTCAGTTTGCTCCAGGGCATGTGCGCTCACCAGAGAGAGACAGAGGGAAAGTGAAAAAGCAAGCTGCCAGTTTCAGGACTCAAACGAGGGTCGGCCATGTGGGAGCCCAGCACCTTAACCACTATGCCACCTGCTAGCTCCACTGATTATTTCACTTTTTTTTTTTTTTGGAGGAAAGTATATTTTATTTAAAAAAGAATTATTTATTTATTTTTATTTGCTATTTTTATTCTTCAGTTTAACCAGAGAGACAGAGAGAGAGAACGTTTGAATGCAAGACGCCAGGTCTGGGACTAGAACTGTAATTGGCCATGTGGGAGTCCAGCGCTCCAACCACTATGCCACCTGCCCGCCCCTATCTTATCTTTTAAAAATTATTTATTTAATTTTACTTATTATTATTGTTTTAATTTTAAACAAGAGAAAGACAGAGAGAGTGAGGGAAAGTGAGAAAGCAAGCCACCAGGTCTGGGACTTGAACTACAGTCAACCACATGGGAGTCCAGCACCTTAACTGCCACACCACTTGCTAGCTCCTACTTTACTTTTTAAAAACTGGGACCAGCAGATGGCATAATGGCTATGTCGCTGGACTCCACATAGGTGACTGCAGTTCAGGTCCCAGACCTGGCGGCTTAAACTCATGCCTGGCACATGTGCGTGCATGCCCAAAATCCTGAGAGAGTGGAGAAGAGATCACGGCATGGCCATCCCCCCCTAGGGGGAGATTTCTCGCTTTCTGTCTGTCTCTCCAGCGAGTGCATGCACCCTATAGCAAAAATCTCTCTTCAAAAAAAATTTTTTTAAATAATTGTTTTTTTAGTTTGCTGAAAAGTAAATGTGCTCACAGGAGAGAGAGAGAGAGAACGAGAAGGGAAGTGAGAAATCACTGCCTCCCCGGGGGATGGCCACACCATAGTCCCTTCTCCTCCACCCTCCTCTCTGGATTCTGGGCACACACACACACACATGCCTGGTCTGGGACTTGAACTGTGCGGTTAGCCATGTGAGAGCCAGTCACCTTAACCATCATGCCACCTGGCTGGCCCTTTAATCCATTTTCCATGAACCTGCTGAAAATCCCTGTGTACGCACCAGTGCACGCGTGCTGTGATTCTGGGGGTGGATTATAGCGCGAGGAGCCTGTTGGAGATGCCATGAAATAAACTTAAAAGGACAAAAATAAAAATGCATCTCCCTGGGGCCGGCAGGTGGTGTGGTGGCTAAGGGCGCTGGATGCCCACATGGCTGACCACGGTTCAGTTCTCAGACCTGGTGGCTTGCTTTCTCGCTTACCCTCTCTCTCTCTGCCTCTCTGGTCAAATTAAACATAAGTAAATAAATAAAGTTAAGTAAATTAATTCTTAAAAAAAAAAAAAAGCATCTCCCTGTGTCCCACATACTCCCCAGCCCCCACTCCTGTGCTACTTTCCTCCCTGAGGAGCTGGCGAGCCGGCGGGACCTTCCTCGTTTATTACTGGAGTCCCGTGTCAGGTGGGGGTCTGTTCCATCTCCTTCGTTCCCCGCTGTATCCCCCGAGCACAGCTCAGGGCTTGGCACGGAGCAAGTGCTCACTAATACGTGTGGAGTGAATGAGGGACTCGACTTTGACGGGTGACCTGTGGCTCAGCGACTGGAAGGACACGGGGACCTGAACTCCGATTTCTATCTCCACGCTCTGTCTGGCTGAGTCTGGGCTGGGAGGTACCCGGCAGCGCCGGGCAGAAACTGGGTTCTCAGAGACAAGGCATCGGATGATAAGTAGATGGGGAGGTACCACGTGCTGGTGGGGGGGGTGGGGAAAATGGAGGACCAAAGGGTCCCGACCTCACCACCTCCAAAGGTTACAGCCCCATTTGTCAAGGTGGGTGGAATGACGCCTTTGAAGGTTGGAATGGTCTCCATGTTCTGAGTCTGGACAACGATATTGACAATTCTAGTGGCTCACGACGTGCCAGGCCCTGTTCCAAGCACGTCACACAACACTCATGTAACCCTCATGTTCTGATCACATTGAAAGAGGAGGCCAGTGAGGCACAGAGAAGTGAAGTCACTTGCTCAAGATCACACAGCTGGGCAGTGGTGGGCTCGAGATTTTTCTGATCCAAGAAGTAGGCTCCAGAGTCATGCTTTAAACAAATAAACTCTGCCATCAGGGCTAGCAGATGATATGGTGGTTGGGCACTAGACTCCCACATGGCTGACCACAGTTCGAGTCCGGACCCGGTAGCTTGCTTTCTCACTTTTTCTCTCATGAGTACATGTGCATTATAGCGAAGTTTAAAATGGGAGTACTAAGGACCAGCAGACGACGTAACGGTTACATGGCTGGATTCCTGCGTAGCGGAGTCCAGAGTGCAGAGTGAACATCACTGTGGGGGCTGATTTCTCACTCTCTGTCTCTCTCCAGCAGGCGCCCATGCCTGGTGCAAAAATATCTCTCAAAATAAATAAATATATAAATAAAAATGCTTTTTTTTTTTTTTTAAAGAGAATTTTCCTGTAGGACACAAGCACTTGCTGGAGAGACAGAGAGACAGAAGGCAAGAAATCACCTTCCAGCAGGGATGGCCAAGCTACAGTCCCTTCTCTAGTCCCCTCTCACCATCTTGGGCACGCACACACATGCACCTGGCATGAACCATTTATTATTATTTTTTTTTGGAGAGGTTTTTGCTATAAGGCGCGTGCGCTCGCCAGAAAGACAGAGAGAGACAGAGAGACAGAAAGCAAGAAATCATCCCCCCGGGGGGATGGCCACACTGCAATCCCTTCTCCTCCATTCTCCTCTCGGGATCCTGGGCACGCACGCATACACGCCCGGCGTGAGTTTAAGCCACCAGTTTTGGGACTCGAACCACCATCACCTACATGGGAGTCCAGTGACGTAGCTATTATGCTAACTGCTGGTCTCCTGGCATGAGTTTTAAGTCGCAGGACTGCAGCAGAATAGTGGGAGTGTAGTGGAGTAACCATTACGCCATCTGCTGGTCCCAGTAAATAATTGTTTAAAAAAAAAAAAACCTTTGGGGTCAGCAGGTAGGGTAGTGGTTAAAAGCACTGGATGCCCACATGGCTGACTGTGGTTTGAGCCGCAGATCTGGTAGCTTGCTTTCTCACATTCCCTCTCTCTCTGTGTCTCTCTCTAATCAAATTGGAAAATAATAACAACAATAATAAATAAAGTTAAAATAAAATAATTTAAAAAATACATAAACTCTGCCATCTCTCTTGGGTCTACTCAGACAGCCTCGCTCTCCGTCCATCTCGGTGAGCCTCCCCTAGACCCCACCTAACTGGGCCTTCAAGCTGAATATGGAACATCAGTAAACTCAGCTCATTAACTCAACAAACAGCTAATGTGGAGTGCTCTCCCTGCTAGACACTGTGCTCTGAGGACGCGGGAGGGTACAGGTAGTCAGTGTCTGCCCTCCCGAGATCAAACGCCAAGGACTTACAGGTAGGCCAGGAAACCAGCAGGGGGCAGAAGAGAGAAAAACAGGGGCTTGCTTAGGAAAAGGTGGTCCCTGGAGAAGAGGGAATTAAGCTGAGGCTTTTGCCTCTGTTCTCCACAAAACAGTATAAGGAAGAGAATCTTAATAGCTCCTAATCTAATGATTGACTTCAGATCAGGAGTCACCCAGCCTGACCTCTGATCTGGCCTGGACGTGTGGGGTAGAATGAGAGCTATATGGGAAAGTCTTTGGGGACAAAGGATGGCAGTTTCCATGTGAACGCTAGTGACACCAAGAGACTTCTTACCTCCTAGGTGGCAGGCTGGGGAAGTTGCCGGAGGGCAGTTCCAGTCCTGCTCAGCTGCGCCGCTGAGAAAAGGGGAACCAGAAACCCCAGTCAGCCAGTTCTGCACAGCAGAGCAGTTTCATCTTACCCACAAACATGGCAGCTGGAAAATCAGGGGCTCTTTGCTTTTGAGGTCCCCGAAGCTCAGGCACCACCTGGGGTAGCTCCGGAGTGGGGTGGGACCCATGGGAGGGACGCTAGTTATCACAGCCATGTATAAGCACCTCTCTCATGAATGGGTCCAGAAAAGGTAGGGCTAGATGTGACAGAAGCTGTTACCATGGCAACTGCTCCCCTAGACACACCTTCTCCCCCCCAGAGGCAACCCTAAATCCTTTGCGCCCTACCTCACCTCCACCTTGGAAAGCCTAGACAGGGTCATGGGAAGGGACTGCTTGTTATCATAGTAGCCAGGGCTGGGCCTTGGTGACAGCTTTTCACCTCTCTGGGGATGGGCCAGGCCCTGTAACCATAGCAACCGCCCCTCAGCAGAGCATCTTCTCTAAATAAAAACACCTGGTGGGTTTGTTCCATGGACCTCCCACGATGGGAAGGGGTAGACGGTTACCATGGTAACGAGAACTGGGCGGCTATGGGGGAGGGAAGAGGTGTTTTCGGAGATCAGTGTCCTCGGGGCTGGGGTCCTTCTCACCTGAGTCCTAGGTGAGGGAGGGTTGCCATAGTGATGGATGAGCAGAGGGGCAGAAGGACCACTGGGGACTTAGGTTACCTTAGCAACCTCCTCCTGGAGGAAAACTGAGAGATTTGGAACTCCAGCAACCCCCAAGGTGGAGGGGAGGGGAGAGGGGGGCGGTTCCAGGCTGGGGAAGGGTTACCATGACAACCGATCAGAAATCCGAGAGGACGGGGCCACGGTTAACACCACCCCCAGCGGTCCCCCTTCCTTTCAGAGAGTGAAGGTGATTGTCAGAGTGGCATTCGGGACTGAGGGGCTTAGACTCCCTGAGCGGGCACAAGCGTCCCCTTCCCTAACCTCGCCCCTGCGCGGGGCCTGGGTCTCCTTTGCCCGACGCGCCCCCGCGCGCCCTCCCAGCGCGCGCACGTGCGCCTTCGGGGTCAACCTGGGTGGGCGAGGCTCGCGCCCGGCCTCGCGCTCGCCGCCGCCCCCCCACAGTCCC